ACTCCGCCAACCCTATTTTGTGTTGAGCTTTTTTCAAGATATAGTCTTGTAAACTATTTCCCGGGGCCAGCTTCAAACTGCAATCCTCCTGATCTCTGCCTCTTGAGTGGCTAGGATTACAGGCATGAGCCACTGGTGGTGTCCTGATCCAGGGTGAACGCTTTTGAGAGAATGTAGTTTCACTCTTAAGACAAATGCTGAAATTCACTCCCTTTGCCTGTCTTTGAATATCTGGCAGAATATTCTAGAGAACCCAAGGACACTGAGACAGCTTTCCATGGGCCCAGAATGTCTTCTTACATGGAACCTACTTTATTTTTAAAGTTAAGTGTTTTTGCGATGCTGGGGATGAAACCCAGGGCCTCCCTCACACATGTTAAGTAAGCCCTTCACCATGGAGCCACACCCCCGGCCTAAGAAGGATATTTAAGTAACAGCAGCAATAATGTCGCCTGCAGCCAACAACTTTCTGTTTGGTTGAGAGGTGCCAAGAAACTGCAAGAAGTGTTTTTACAGTCATTGTTACACTTAACCCTCACAATAGCCCTATACCGTCACCATTATCCCATTTTACTTGGGAGGACATTTAAGGCCTAATGAGGTTATGAGACTGGCCAGTCCTATGGTGCTTGGACCAGTAAGTTGTGGAGAGAGCTTTCACTCTGAAGTCCACTCCAGGATGCGGCTGGTGTTTACTGAGCACAATCTACGTGCCACACAGACCTGTCTTGCGTTCACCCTCTGTCCTCACAACCCCTCCCACGCCTTGGTTCCATCTTTTCCCTTCCTCTGCTGGGCAGGTCCTCAAACTGCCTTCAAGTTTCTATGCACTTCCAGATCCCCAGATAAACTGCCACACATCCCCTGGTGGTGGTGGTGGTGTTGGTGAGAGGAGGTGCGTCATATGCACTGTTGGGTAAATGAGTCCCAGCAGGCTAGGACTTGAGGCAACTTTTTGATCCTGTGTCCTCGTTTGTCCAATGAGTTGGTTGGCTCATTTGACCTCTAATTTTCTAGATTGTGTGTACGTGTGTGTGTCTGTGTGCGTGTGGTGCTAGGGATGGAACCCAGCATCTCTTGCATGCTAGGCAAGTGTTCGACCCCTGAGCCTCACCTCCAGCCCTAATTTTCTAGAATTCTCTGACAAGGACAGCGTCTTTCTGGAAAAGGGATGCAGGACAAGGACATGTTTTGAGACATGGAACTAGAAGTGACCTTGAGAGCTGCAGGAACTGTGTGAAGAAGCAGAGGCGAAGCTCTGGGGAGCAAAGGAGGTCAGATGAGGTCTTGGCTGTTGGGGACAGGAGGGAATGAACCGAGGGGAGGGGCCCTGTGCTTGGGCCAGAGCCTGTAACGGGACTAGAATATGTGGTGAGTCAGAACCCGTGGGTGCAGGAGTCAGTGTGTATGTGGGACGGGGTGGGGGTTTGAAGGGAGAGAGCCCATCCTCCAGGTAGCTGGTCAGGGCTGGCTGCGTCGGAAGCCTTGTGGGGGATTTCTGCTTTGGGCAGTGTTGACTCCAGAGGCTAGCTTTCCAAATTTCAAATTCGTTCATGTCCCTCTTTGGCTTGGCAGCACCCCCTGGATCCCAGAGCTGTGAATGTGGTCCAACTCAGCTCCTTTCCATGCCGTGCTGGCTTGTCCCAATCTGGCATGACCACCTTCACTTCCTACCCCCTCGCGACCAGTCATCCTGATTGATCTTCTTGTTGCTTTCTGAACACCTGAGGAGTGTTGACACACTCACTGTGAGTTGGTTCTTGCGTATCTACTTAGAGCTGAGTTGCAACTACTCATCCACGGACTGGGTCCCCTCGAAGACAGGGCAGGGCTCCGTACCTCCCTTCCCATGCCCTTGGCGGAGTGTGGACTGCGGGTGTATTCTCTCACAGGGTGGGACTAGATGCTGTCTGACAGTTCTCTGAACTCTACGATGTGGCTATTTTATTTTTATTTCATTATTTCTGAGATGGGGTCTTTCTGTGTTGCCCAGGTTGGCCTCGAACTGCTGGGCTCAAGTGATCTTTCTACCTCAGCCTCCTGAGTAGCAGGGACTACAGCTGTGCACTGCCATGCTTGGCTACCTTTTAATTTCCTTTCAATAAGCATTTAATGGAGGAGAAAGCACGTGCCATCACTTTGTGAGGAACAGGAACATGCAAATAATAGTGACAATTATGGAAGCAGAGACGACCAGGAGTCAGCTAGGCTAAGAACCAGGGCCGTGAGGAAAAGTAGGGAGGTGGTTATCTAGTGGTAACGCACAAGCCCAAACTTTTCCAGCAAGTACATGGGAAAAGAGGAGAGAAGAGACTCACGGTGGTGGTGGAGACTGATTCTTCCCTTCAAGGGGTAAGATCAGGAGCCCCACTCCTGCGAAATCAGGAGGTATTGCTCATTCCCAGAGTGGGGATCCAGGATCTAGGCTCCAGCTCTCATCACAGTCTCCCTCTGTCATCACACAGCTCGTAGTAGGTGTCAAGCTCTTGCCCACAAAAGGACTTGCCTTCAGTGACCTAGAAGAAGCCAAGAGCCAGCCGCTGGAATACAGTAGCAACTAAGACAACCAAGTCCCGCTTTTTTTCCTCAGTGGCACTGATGTGGATGTCCCTTTGGCTTGCTCCCAAAGCTGTTCCTGGGAATTTGCAGTGTGACACCAGCTAGCACTGCTGGGGATGGAACCCAGAGCCTTGCACGTGCAGAGCACATGCTGCACCACTGAGCTGCACCCAGCCCCCCACTCCTCTTTTTGGGTTCCTCTCGCAGAACTCCCCCGGCTCCTGCTCCACACCCGAATTTAAAACCCTAAGTCGAGACTCAAGTCAGTCCAGGTCTTGAGTGTGGCTTGAGAAACAGGGTGTGTAGGTATGACTTCTCTGCAGGCTGCCTGCTGTACCTGGGTCCCAGTCACCACATGAAGATGTGGAAGGGGCCTTGTCATGGTCAGCGGAGGGCTGGGGCAAGGCCTTGTGTGGGAAACCCTTTTTCTGACTCCTGACCAAAGTTAATTTTCTTCCTATTTTTATTAACACAAGTCCCCGAGAGTGTGTCCATAGCAAGTGCTATGAATAACTGACGATACACGTGTGGATTGGCTTGGGAACCATGCTGGGGGGCGGGAGGGAAGGAAGGGGCAGGAGCTCTGGAGCTGAATCTAATGTGTTGTAAAATATTTAGCAATTGATCATCCAAGCCACAGGGAAAAAGTGAGCGAGATGGGAATTTGAAAGCTGCCAGGATTTAAAAGCTATTTAATGCTAACCATCAGTGCCAAAGAGCTGAGAGCAGCTCCCCTCTCTGCCCTCCCCCTCCACCCCCTACATTGGCAAAGACAACTCGATAATGTGGAAAGGGCTTGGACGGCTGCAGGGCGCTGGTGGGAACTGAGACCAGGCACGAGCTGAAAGGCTTTTTGTGCGAGAGCCTTGCAAACAAGGGCTCTCCTCTGAGCTCCCTCGGAGGACGATACCTGGTCCATGGCCTGCACGTTCTCCTTCCCATCTCCCTGAGCAACTCTGCATGGAACCAATGTAGAAAGACCCATGTCAGTCATCCAGATGTTTCAAACTACCCTGAGGCAGAAAAAAATAACCAGATGGCAGACTGAATTTGTTACCTTCCTTCCAAATGTTTGGATGTCACTTAGATGATGGCTTTGGTCTCTGGTTCCAATGTGGCTTAGATGTATCTGTCACATCTGTGGGAGGCTCGGGCTCTGAAGCTATCTCTCCATGGGGATTAGGGAGACTGTATTTTCAGGGCTGGGGTGAGGACTCACTTCCATGATGACCTGACTCTTTGGAGATATGTCTAAATTAAAAATGACAACTCTTTCCTGCTGTTTTTGGCCCCAAAGCCTCAACTATGAAGTTGTGTCCTTCTGGGTAGAAATACCATATGGCAAGATAAACCATGGGAAGGAATCTGGCTCTGTGGAAACAGTCACCGTGCAGGACAGAGGCTTGACGTAGGACATGTGATAAGTCACAGGGAGCCAATGCTAGTGGTTTTGGTAGCTTTTGTCAGCTGATCTGTTCATTATATCACAGAGGTCCCTACACAGCCTCAAGGCCTGTTTCCCAGTGTCTAAAATTCATCCCTGACTCTCCGGCCTCGGTGAGTCCTTACTACCATCACACCCTGTAGAGTGCAAGGGCTGGAACCACTTACCAGGCCATGGTTACTGCTGCATTGTGATCTGCTTTGGGAAAGATTGATTTTTTTTTCTCTCCTCAATTCAGTTGTAAGCTCTGGTGCCAAATCTTAAAACTCTTTTGTGTTACATGGAGTCAATAGCTGCCATTGGGTTTACTCTGGTATCCCGTTAGTAGGCAGGACAGTGGGCTCTACCCTTCGTGTCTGTGGGTCCTGCATCCATGGGTTCCATCGACCATGGACTAAATATTTGGAAAAAAAATTGCATCTCTGTACAGAACACTAGAGAGTTTCTTCTTGCTATTATCCCTAAACCGTACTGTAGAACAACCATCACCAAAGTATTTCTGTTGCCTTAGGTGTGATGAGTAACCTGGAGTTGATTGTGTTCACAGGTATGTGCAAACAGGCCGTTTTATATGAGTGGGGGTGCGTGACAACATGTAGGTTTTGGTATCTTCAGGAGGCCCCGAACCAGCCCCATGGATACGGAGGGATGACTGTGTGTTGAACAGGCTGCTAGCCGTGAGTACGAATCTCACTCAGAATGTGGAAGACTGACTTCAGCAAGCCCAAGGACATGCCACCAAATTAGCACTTCCAAGTGAAGAGACATGCTTTTTCACCCTTGGTCCTAAACCTTTCCTTCTTCATTGGGATTAAGGCAGAGAGTTCAGAAAAGTTGCAAATTGAGTAAAAACTGAACTGACTGAAAATGTATCAGTGGGTCCATTCACATTTTTCAAAATGACCAAGAAAGAAGGAAAGAAAAGAAAGAAACACAACAAACCCCCAAGAGGGTAGATGGGAACACACCAGACTTGATCTTCAAAGACCGTCAGCAATTTCATAACATGGTAATTTTTAATATTAAAAGTAAATTGTAAATGTATCTTTATAAACAATATGCATAAAATAGATCCTATTCTAAAGCCTTTCGCTTTGCCCCAATGCTTCTTCACAGTGAGTTTCTCGGGTGCCAGCTCTTCCCTCCAGACCGCAGTGCAAGTGGGAGCAGCCCTCCCCTCTGCTAGTACAGGTCCTTGTAGATCTCCTGCAGGAGAGGATGCAGGCTCATGTCCGTCTCCGTCTTCTTGATCACATGCAACAGCTGCACATGCTCCGTGACGATCTGTCTGAGGTCTGTCATTTTCTGCAGCAGCTTGGCAAACAGCTGTGAGGACTCGGGGTGGTTCAGCTTGAGCTGCAGCTCCAGGGCCTGCAGCAGGTTGTCCTGAATGTCCTCAATGGGCTTTACGTTCAGCAGGCCCGGGCGGTCTGTGGGGCAGAAATAGGAAACACGAGAGGAGGTTTAGTCAAATGCTGTCAGGGCCTGGCCTGGGGCCGGGCAGCTCCACACCACACCTCTTGGGCTCAGTGATCCCCCTGCCTCAGCCTCCTGGGTAGCTGGGACTGCAGGTGCATGCCAGGGCGCCTGGTCTGACTCCTAACTTGGAAAGAAACGCTTCTAGTGCTTTCCACAAGGTGTGATGTTTGCTATAGATTATGGGGAATATGTTTTACTCTTGGTTTTCCAAGAATTTTGAAGTTTTTAGTTTGTTTTAGCCAAGAATGTTGGTTGAGTGTTATCAAATGCTTTTAAATTTGCCTATCTAAAGAGATATGGTATCTGAAGAGATACAGTTTTATCTTAACCTAGTGTGGCAGATTACATTAATAGATTTCTTTATACCTCTACACTCATTGGTTAATCTTTTATTTAGGGTTTCTCTGTTTGTAGGGATATGGGTCCAGAGTGCTGGGTTTTGTGCCATCCTTTGCCTGTGTGGGTGGTAGACGGTAACTAGCCTTACACCGGGTTGAGTCTTCCTTCCACTTTGGTGTACAATGACCTGTTCCCAGGGCTTTCTTACAATTCATTTGTAGAACCAGCTTACCCTGGTGATAAATCCTTCACTACCTTTAATTTTTCATCATAGCATTCAATCTTTCCAGGCTGCCTACAATTTTTAAAGTAATTTTTTTAGTAATTTGTTTATTTTTAAAAATTTATTTAGGTTTTTTGAGACAGGGTCTTGAAAAGTAGCTCAGGCTGGCCTGGAGCTCTTCATCCGCCTGCCTCGGCCTCCTGAGTGCTGGGACTAATTTTTAGCAATCTGTATTGGAACAAGGTTGTATGATACTCTTATAATTTGGGATTTATTATTTTACTTATGTCCCTTAGTGTATGGCTTTCTTTTTTTTCCAGTACTGGGGATTGAACCCAGGTTCCTGCACTTGCCTAAAAGCACTTGAGCCACACCCCAATCCTTTTGTTTTAGTTTTGTTTTTGAGACAGGGTCTCCCTAACTTTGCCTGGACTGGCCTCAAATTCGAGATCCTCCTGCCTCCTCCTCTCAAGTAGGCATGATTATAGGCATGCACCACCACACCTGCCTTGCTTAATGCTTTCCAACTGTGTATACTCTCATTTAAAAATCTGATTTGTCAAAGGTTCACCAGCTTTTTATTTTATGAAAATACAGCTTTTGATTATACTAATCAACTTTTTAAAAAATTGTATTTTGTTTTCAATTCATCTAATTCCTTTTTTATAAAAACTTTCTTGAGGTTTACTTTTTTTTCCTGTCCTAATTTCTTGAGTCGGATACTTAATTCTTTTAGTTTTGGGATTTCTTTCTTGTTTTCTAATAAGTGCATTTTGGGTTCTAAATTTTTCTGTGATGTCACTTTGTTTTCATCCCGTAGGCTTTGCTAAACAGCACCCTCATCGCTCTTTTCTAAATAACTTCTCTCACACCTTTCATTTCATTTTGAACGCAAGAGTTATACAGAAACATACTTTTAAATTCCCAAGCGGAAAGTGTGGGATTTGCTCTTGTTCTCTGAATTTGCTGAATTAAGTTAGAATATGGGATTTTCTCTCAAGGCCTCCTGGAAGGCAGGGATGACCTCCAACATTTAGGACACACACCTGGAGCATCTCGGACAGAGTTCACATGTTGGCTCTTAAGGCTGTTTGCTCTCCTGTAAACATTTTAGGCTTGTTTCTTCCTAGGGAATCCTCCTCACCTCTAAACACCCATTCCCAAGAGCTGCTGGGTCCCCACCTGCATTTCTCTAGCTAACCCTTTGCTCCAGGAACATTAAAATACTCTTCCACTCCAAGTTGCTCCGACATCTGACCCTTCGGGCCCCTGCTCACAGACTCAGTCCCTCCTGCCTAACGCCTTCGTCCCTTCTCATCACAGTGGCTGTGGCACCCATCCTGACATCCTTCCTCTACACCATCCCTTCCTCTCCTGTTCTCCTCGCCTCCTTTCTCTGGGTCCCACAGCAACCTATGAACACCTCAGTCACTACCCTGCTAGATTCCATGTACTGATTGGTTATTTTCCCAAGATTATGCCGAGAGCCTTAGAGTAACTGTGTCACCTAATCGTCACGATCACCCTGGGAGGCCATACTCTATGAAGGGGGAAAGGAGGGTAGGGAGAAAAGTTAAAGTTATCAAGATCTGCCACTTGCTAGTAAAAGACAGTGCTGAATCTGGCTCCAAGTCTGTCCCGTCCAAGTGCAGTACGTCCCGCCTCCCTCCCTCCCTCCGGTTGCCAGTAGTGATGTCCTTGTCGCTCTTCCCCTCTGGCCAGGAGATATCAGAGGGCAGGCTGTGTCCTGATTGCTCCCAAGCCACCAGTGAATGCATAGGAAGCCCTCAGCTGGCTGAGCTGATGAGGGAGAAGCTTGTTCTGGCCAAGAGCCCTGAATGGGAAAGCACAATTCTCCTGGTCAGTGAACAAGCCTAAAGGCAGAATCGCCACACAAGGAAAGTCCTCCATGAACACGGTGTGTCTATCTACTAAACCCTCATAACCTTTATCCACAGAGGCGTGGCTCAGGAGCAAAATGCAGGGTACGGAGGGTCTCGGGTGGGACTTTCAGAACACTCACCATTCTCCTAAACTAACTTTATTAATATTATTATGACAGAAGGAAACTGGTCTTTGGTTTGATCCCCCCCCCCACCTCTCATTTTCCTAACATATCCCATTGGTCAGATGAAGTATAATTTCTTTGTGAAATTTCAGCACTTGATTTTGGAACCATCAGCAAGCAAATCTCTGATGCTGAGGATGAAGGAAATGTCTAGTCCTGTCCTGGAGATTCACACCCCAGGAAAGTTGTGACTTTCTGAGACCTTATACCATAAAGAAAATCACAAGGCTTCCAGGAAAGCTGGATTCTGGACAGGGCCTCTGCTTTAAGGGTTGCCGATCCTCTTCCTTAACAAATGTTCAAATGTTGGTGGGTGTGGGAGTGGCAGCAACTCAGGTAGTCAGGTGCTGAGCGAGGCTCCTCCCCACTGGGCCCACAGAGTGGATGTGGGATTCTCAGCTCACGAGGCCTTTTTTCCTTCCGCCTGCCTTTGGAGGGGCAAACCCGCTGAGATCATGTGAACCTTGTAGGTCTCATTTATCAACCTACTAACCCCTAAAAGGCAATGGCTGGGGCTTGCTCGGAACACTTGGCTCTGGTGTAGTGAACTAGGCCCTCCAGGAGTGGGGAGGATCTGGTTTGGATTTTCAAACCCCTCTTTGGCAAGTTACTTTTTATGATGTGATGGATGATGCTTGGCTGAAGGACTGAGATGCTGTAGCCACAGATTCAGTGCATTTCCTCTAGTGACAAGTTAGATCATTTACGGATCAGTCCCACTGTCCCCCTGACAGAGCCTCCATTAAGGGAATGGAGTTTGGGCAGGAAGGAGGGACACAGAGGAGAAAAGACCAAAGATCCTCCTTGGTCTTTCATCAGCTCTGTGACCTTGGGGTGAACTGATGAAGCTCACTGGGCTCGGTTTCCAATGCTGTACACTAGATGGACCAGACTCAACCAACGATGTCTGCATCCCTCATTCAAAAGCTCTAAGATTTATTCTTGTTTGCAATTCCCTCCAGCATGCAAGCCACATAATTCAACTCGAAAACCCATTAGAAAAAGAGCATTAAACTTAGGACAACTCGCTTATCGAAAAACAAAAACAAAACAAAATAAGTCTCCTTCCGTCCAAAGTCAAGAGCAAAATCGATCTACTGATTGTTCCCTCCCTAGCATGAGATCTCCCTGCTAGGTGGAGGAGGTGCTACCAGTGAGCCACAGGGACTGTCTGAGCACCCAGAGTTGTCCTGAGCTCTTTTCTTGCCCTCTCTACTCCCCAGTTGCCCAGGACCTGGTAGGACACTCCCACAAGGGCTGTCTGAGGTCCTCTCCCAGCACCTTTTGGATGTGAGGAGAGTGTGGAGCAGCTCTGGTCAAGGGACCTCTCTGTTGGCCAAGGCTGCCCAGAAGGCCTTTGGGGAAAGTGCCCGTTGACTCACACACTCCAGGACTCAGTACTCCAGGAGCTGGAGCCAATTACTGGTTCCTTACTCCCCAGGCTGCAACAAATTGGGAAAGAAACCTTTCTGGTCTCCATTCACACAGTCCTGGGATTGATTAGTGAGCACTGTGGATTCTGGGCAGATCTACAAAGCTTCCATATTATCCGCATTGGTTCTGCATTAAGTTCAGTGCTTATCTGAAGCAGAGTCAATTCTCTGGACTTCTTGGGATCTGCCCACCTGGGCACAAAGTTCCCCAGCACAGATATTCCAGCCTGCCACAGGTGAGTCTCCCTACTGTAAGAGAGACAGAAGAACCAGTGCGATCCTTCGCTCTCTGCTCGTGGAGCTGCAGTCTTAATCTTTCTCAACTTCCCTGTGTGTTGGCTGTGATACAGCTTGACCTATACCTAGGACCTCAGGGAAAGAAGTCAGCTTGCTGGGCAGTTGTGGAGTGAGCCATAGACCATGAAGGGCTTCAGTGCTGGCATGGGGTGAACACTAGAGGAGGGGCTGTTCAGGACTCTGACTTTAACCTCCTTTGAAACCTTCTCTCTCATTTTCCTTACTGCTCTGCTCCCAAGTTTACTAGTGGGTTCCAAGGAGCAGTGGACTTGGAAACTGAAGACTGGGTTGAGTCCTCTCCCTTCCACTTCACTTTCTGTGTGCCTTTGGACAGGTCAGCTGATCCTTCTGGGGTCTGGCTTAATTTTTAAGGCAACAATGACATTTCTCTATAAGGCCGTGGGGCGAGTGGAACAGGTAAAGAACGTTCGAAGAGACTGTGTTTGTTCCAGGCAAGGTAATTAGGTTTCCTGACAACAGCCAGGGAGGGGAAGGTTTTTGAGTTGTCCTTGGTAAGAGAGGAAATTCAAGAGCACAAGAAAATAACTCCTGATGCAGACACAGGCTCAGAACTTGCTCATGTTCTCACTT